CACCCAGTGGTAGCGTCCAGCATGGATTGGCGTTTATTTGGTTGATGGCGTGGCCTATGTCAATCCAAAGTCAAGCGATATTAAAATTTACCCCCAAATTTAATGATATTCTTCAATACGTACTCGCCAAGTGATATTGTAAAATGTAATCAATGATATTTATGGTCTCAATTTATAATAGAAAGCCGATTATGAGCCCTCAGTTTTTCTTAATGAGACTTCACCTCATACATTAAATAAGTTAGAGGTCTCTAAATTTTAAAATATTAGTGTTATGTTAATTACCTGAGTCGAAGATTTTCACGACCGTTTTGTACTACACATAATATCATTACAAAACGCAGAAGAATATTTGCATTGCGACGCAACGCAAACAGTGCGCACTCGACAAAGCGGGCCTTAATGCATAGTGCTTTTCCCCGATCGTTCTTAAGTGCGCGGAACTGAGTGTTAGACAACTCAAGTTTTAGCACTTTTTATTTTGGCCATCGAAACAGCTCGGATTTTACGGCACCGTCAATGTTCTTCCCGCTCGATAGGCATTATCCGTCGCTCGTACCGTCGTCGCTCGTGTTTCTCATACTACCCGGACACTGGCTGCGTAATGCCGTCGATTACATCTCCTTTGTCGAGATCAGATTCTTAGTGCCGTCATGTAAACGTGATTCGAGGTTGTTTGCCACCGACCAACGTCACGCGCGACATGAGTGGCTTAAGAAAAGTCGAAGTTTTCTACACACGTGTAGAGCATTGTAGGGTTTATAGCAGTATCGGTTAAGATTTATCTGCTGACCTCTTCAATCACGAAACGATTAAAGCTCAATTAATTATTCAATGTCAAGCGCTTTGTGTCTCGCCTATGCAACTATTGACTGCCCTCAGTGAGCGTCAATGTGACGGACGTCGTTATTTTTAGCGGCCAGATGGATGTGTAAGCGTTCGTCTGTGTTGATGACGTGAACGTGGCGACGGAAACACTGATGTTTGCAGGATAAATGAATGGTTGCGGTCGCTATGGATTGTTTCCAGCTATGCTGAGCGTCATGCTGCCGTTCAGCGGATTCCTGACACTTACATACCGGATGATGGACGTATTTTCGCGCTCCTGTTATTCCTTCATCGTCACTAGCTGCTGTCTATGTATCGGGGTCGTATGTGAATTCGGTCATGAGAACGTCTGCTGCACTTTGCATACCCGCTCTTCAGGATAAAGAAATAAGCGAACCGGTGTCCTGCCCTCAGCCAACGATGTTTCTGTCTGTGGTGATATTAAACGTGGGTATTGTGATGCATGATGAGGATGGTGTAGTCGGACGATGAACTTATCCTTGCGCTGTGTATGTGATACCGATAAATCATGGTGCATGCGCTGACTCGTTTATTTCTAACAATTGCTTGTCTTGAATAAAGTATTATTCGAAGAGCTTTTTCAGTCGTCTTGAAATTGCCGTGGCCTCCTTCTTGTCACTAAGCGAAATTGGTAATGATTGCGGCTCGTTATCCAACATTCGTTGCTTTGACATCGCTTAAATCCAGTTGATCGACTTTGTTTGCGATCGTATATACATTCATGTGTTTATATAACATAGACTTTTCACACTTATGCTGAATAGGATAGCAAACTAACATAGAACTTGAAATGTAGGTAAGCATCGGCTTGGCAAATTGGGTACGTCATTAAAGTGTAAATATGTGATCTTGATATTGCAACTCGTATTTTATGCTTTTCAATCGCGAGATGTGCTTAAGTGATACAATAGAGCTATCATTATAAATCCTTTGTTGCGGAACCCTTTAAAAGGTTAATAAAAATTCACCAAGACAAAATTTAATGTGTATAAAAACAGAGTTATTTACATACTGATGGCATCTTAGCAATAGGGGAACACGTATATTGCTAACGGCTAGCAACATCCAACTCACAGTCCAAATTTTGATGCAGCTTGAATGCATCAAATAATAGACCAAAATGCTCTATATATTCGATCTATCGCAATGCTAATGGTGCTAAAGGCACTGCTTCTAATCTGCGGCTTGGCGACATGTCCTTGCATTGCACCCCAAATTCTTACAGCGTCCACATCGCCGACGTCTCTTGGGATTCAACGCGTTCTCTACGTTATTAAAGTGAGATAAATTGCGGCGGGTAGAATCAGTTGGGCGCTCGCGTATCCTTACCAGCTCAGGGTCACGTTTTATGTAATCTGGAGCAGCGATAGCATGATCGTATAGCATCCTTTGATGGAGTATGTCAGCATTCACATACCTCTTACGAAGCCCTTTTAGCACAGTATCATAGTCGGCAACATCATATCTGACTGTCTCGTTATCAGCCCTTAGTGTTGAAGGTTGGACCAACCGCCAATGCTAGTCAAAAGCTTTTAACTAAACGGCCGATCTAATTTGAATATTGCATGACGACAAGGATGTCCCATGTTTTTTGTCATCAGATTCTGACCAGATCCTGGGTAAAGTCTATAAATTTGTTGACGATGTGCTGCCAATACACCTGCGACAGAAATCGTGCTCATTACTCCTGCAAACAGAGGTCCTAGATGAAATTCGACGATGGCGCGTTCCCTTGCGTTTTGGTGGCTGACTATAGCAATTTGGCCGTAGGAAGCCAACCCAAGAGCTGTGTTTACCAGCCATAGATCACCTCAAGGCGTAAAAATACTTAAATAGCTAAACTACCAATATCATCAAGTTTAAATTGAGCTTCTTGCCTGTGGCTACATTTAACCACTTCTCTATGCCCGCTGCGCGCACTCGACACGTGACGTTGTCACATGAATGTAATGTAGACAATCACGCAAGTAGCAAAACACGAAATTTTTCTTGTATACTAGTCAAGTATCATCCTGATATTTCATTACATAAACTGGTAGAACAAACCTCATCGCAACAATCTGGCGGTCATACCATGTCGTTAATTGAGCTTGTACCAAGCAGTTCCACGTGGGCTGTTATTATTTGAACTCCTTTGTGGAGTCAAAATGTCATCGCACCTTGGCAGTGATGTTCTTTTTTATGTGCCATCAACGAAGCAGTGTACTCGCAACGGGAAAACAGTTATCGAGCGCGTTAATTAATGCCATCTCGCGATCAATAACGGATGTTTTTGGTGTAGCGATGTTGAAAATTCCGAATACCCGCCTTAGGTTCTGCATCGCCCAGATGTAGTCGCCTTCATTTTCGTTTCTCATAAAGCGATATGCGAAAGTGTATCTGCTGTTGGTCGCAGTGAAGAACACAATGTGCTGCAAAGGTAGTAGAAATCGATTGTTCTTGTAAGTGGTGTCAGTTAAAATACCCGACTTGGGCTGAAACAGGAGGTGATATTCCTGGCAGAGGGACAAGATAAATAGGTGCGTGAGCTGCTGCTCAGCCCCAAATTTTGCGTAGTACGGTGCATTGTTGTTTTGGTCATTGCTTTTTGCTAGACTTTCAAGCAAGTTCGTAAGCGGAGACCTTCCTCCTAGATATCTGCGGCGCTCCATTGCGCTAATGTTGTATATATCGCGAGCAGTAACACCCACAATATCATATTGTCGTAGGGAGGCAACGATGCAACCAGAGCTGATGTCTGCACGCAACTCGCAATCACCGATTGTTCTTGTTCTTTCTTCAGAGTACGTACATGTAGATGCACCTTGATTTCTTTAAAAAGATCATGGTATGCTTTTCATGAGTAACTTTAATCGACCACTGCTCTAATTGTTCTTGACGTCGCTGTCGTCTAATTGTAGCAGAGAAGAAGCATCCCGTGGCGCGGCTGGAGCCCATGCGCTGACGATGAGGCTCTGTAACTGAGTCGGTACAAGAACAAGTTCGGCGGCCGTTGCATGAGCATTGCAGATCTACTGCTTTAACCTCAACGTCCTTGCGGTAAACCACCCTTACTTGCCTTTTAATAGTTGTAACATATCCTTACGGCAGTGTTAATTCGTCAAGCGCGTGGCAAGCTTCGTCCACAGAATCAAATAGCTCTTCTGTGAGCTGGTAAAGGCCTTTTAATGGCTTTGAAGGAAGGTTGTCACGGGTCCAATCGACTAGATAACTTGAGATGAATAGACGTTATTTCTTAAAAGTACATCAATACAATTTTAGAAATAAAAGACCCCTAAACAAATGACTTGTTTAATCTATAGGATGAAGGCTCATTAGCGAAAACTGAAGACTACTCATTAGCAAAAACTGAAGACTCATTAGCGGATCATTTATTAAATTCTACAATATAACGTTGAATTCTCATATTACGCAATTCGAGCCAATGGCATGTAACAGGCTCACCCCTTACAAGGGCAGTCAGAGCAAGTAGCTTTGTATCGATGCGTGTTTCACTTGACACTGCCGCGGTCTTGTGATCGTCTTCTGGACTGAATGTGCTATCGAGCGCATAGTTCACGGATCTTATGCGGAATAGTTTAGTTGCCAAGCAGCAGGTATAGTACGAAAAGAAGTTACTGGTGTGAGTAAGTCCCTGAAGCGTGGCTGGCGCTTCGAGCTGAAAGTTTACCGGCAAAGTGGATGCTTCGCACAAAGCGCTTCAACGCATTTGCAAAGCGGCAGGTAGCAGGTACGCGAACATGGCGGACAATTGATGTGCGCGTACACTTCAGTAGCCACTACCGTCCAAACGAGTGTGTCTGCTCTGGGTATCGCAGTAGACAACCCTTGCGTTTGTAATTGCAGCGGCCTGTGGAGAATGACAACACATAGCACGCTACAAGGCCACTGCATATGTAAGCTGCGATCAGTGCGCTGGCGAAGACATCCCGATGTATGAGAGGAGGTAGCATTCGCTTGGTCACGTATCGCATGTGTGACATCACGTCGGTTTGATGTGGTCGAGTGTTTGCTGTCTTCGCCTGCCAGTCCCTTCCCCGACGACGACGACGACGACGACGATGATGAAAATTCCACGAAACACGAGCACGTCAAAGTGGTCGAAACGCATTTCCCCTTTGTCCAAACAAAATCAAACACATCTCTGCAAGATGACCTTCGATTCCCGTGTCCGCGGCCTCTGTGCTCTCGCGGTGCTCTGCACTGCTGTGTCGATGGTGCCCACAGCTGATGCGTGGCTGGCGCCGATCGTCACGAAAGGCAACAAGTTGTTCGATTCCAAGACGGGTGTGGAATTCCGGATGAAAGGCATGGCCTACTACCCTCGTCCGAACGATGGCCGCATGGCCACTGTGGGCAACTACGACTGGGCAGCCGATAAGCACGAGGACGTGTGGCAGCCGCACTTGGAAGTGCTCAAAGACCTCGGCGTCAACACGATTCGGCTCTACCCGATCGACCCGGGCACCTCGCACGACAAGTTCATGTGTGCGTGCTCAGAAGCAGGCATTTACGTGCTGGTTGGCATCACTGCACCGTGAGTAGAAGCACTACCTGTCTGTCTATCTATCTGTCTATCTGTCTATCTATCTGTCTATCGCGTCGCTTTATCCCTTCTGCTGCAAGGACTTCTGTCACCAGTGTTCGTTGACTGTGGACGGTGGATCTATTCACCTATGTATAGCTCGACCCGTCCGGACGCTTGAGACTTGACTGACGGATTGTGCTGTGTTCCTTGCCAGGTGTGAAAAACTGCTCCGTGCTGGACTACCTGCCGCCCAAGTGCTATCCGGAAGACCTGTTCACGCGTGCGCAGATGGTGTACAACGCGTTTGCAATGTATGACAACACTTTGGGCTTCAGTCTCGGCAACGAGAACAACCTGCAGACGGAGAATGGCGCCGATGGTACGGCCACGGCGCCCTGTGTCAAGGCTTTCTTGCGGGACACTCGCAGTTACGCTGCGAGTTGCTCGGGCTCGGTGCGGCAGGTGCCCATTGGCCTCGACATTGCCGACATTCCGACACCTTGGGCATTAGTTTCGACGAAAGCTGCATGAATATATCCATCACGATGTCAAATATCGGCTGGAGGCGTTAATTTTGGTGAAGTCGGACAGAACCTCCCCTTGCTCTATAACCGCTCGCGGACGGACCTCGGTTAATGATGTGATTGAGAATCTTGTTTTTCTTTATGTACGCGGACGACCCACTATGTCCTGTCATCGGGCAACAAAGTTACCGCAACAACGACGGGTTCATTTACTAAGTAGCACTAGTCCTCGGACGGCAAAGCGCCTACGCGCAAAATCTTGTCTCGAGATGATCAGGTTTCTCGGTGTCAGCGCGGGATCCGGTATTTCGAGTTGCTCGGGTGAAAGGCTTCCAGCCAGTAGTTGAAACCATTATTGAGAAGAGATACAGCCTCCTCAATATGACCTTGTTTGGAGGACGCGTACACATGATAGAAGTCCTTATTTTCATCGCGTTATTCGCCAGTCGATCTTTCAATTTGTGATCAAGTGCAATATTGATGCCCCCAGCTAGAGACAACGATATCATTTGCTAGGACGCAGGCTTCTCGAAACGACCGCAGTAAGCTAGGCTAACGAGGAGGAACAGTGCACTGTACCCATAAACATTGGTCCGAGGAGGAACAGTGCACTGTACCCATAAACATTGGTCCACGACCGGATCTTTTGGGTCGACGGGAGTAAGACCGGGACTGTGCTCTCCAATTTAAGCTCTAGTTGTTCCCTAGAATTGATATTGAGCCTGGCTGAGCAATACTTTAGCCGATGAATAGGAAGGAGGTGAGGCTTTTTGATGCGCAAATCCGCCGCAACTCCAACCAGGGCGGGATTGGGCTTTGGCTTGCGCAAACAGAACCGGGTCTATGCGTCGTAGCAGAAAGTCCACGACGATAACGCTCACTTTCTTTGCGTCTTCATTCCTACAAACGTAAAGTAAATGTATACGAATATTCCTAAACCTTCAGACTTACGACATCTTCGATATTGAGATAATACGAATGCACAGACTTGATAATTCATGTGTCTACAGAAGGCAAACGTAGCAAGCGAAAA